CCATGGCAGCAAAACCTCATGCATACATACAGCTCATCTGGGGTACCTGTGCTTCTCCTAAAGGTCACTGTAGTGAATTAGGGAGATTACTTCTCCCTTCAGGCATCATGAAGACTTGGGGTGGCCTCGTGAAATGCATAAAGCTCATTCTGCAAGGAGAGATGATCATTAAGCAGCGCAAGAAGGATGTGCCAAACACTAGCAGTGAAATTCATATTTTAAATTCTTTCTGGCTCTATAAAGACGGGGAATTCAGCAGCAGGCTCTCGGGGACCTCGGCTGGTGGTGATTTATGCTATTCCATGATGGAGTGGGATTTGCAGAGACACAGCCACCAGCTCTGCCCCTTCCCTTCTCCTGCTCGGTGAGGACTTAGTCAGGAAGAATGAGGCATTGAAAGCCATCCAGCTCTGCATAGTGTCTCTGCTCAGCTGCTGCCCTGGGCTCGAGTGCTGCTCGACAGTGCTGGTGGCCATGGGAGGTGTTTATTGGCAGATGCTCTTCACTACTGCTTCCAGAAAACGCATTATAAAATGTAGTGCAAAGCACTGTAATGGAAAAAGAGTAGAGAGAGCCCTCCAAACGCAGCTCTGCCAGCAAACGCCTGCTCCAAAGGCCACAAGGGCCACCTCCCTGGGGCACGGGGGCGATTTGTGCTGCTGGAGCTCAGTGTTTGGAGATCGGGGAGGCCCGAGGAGCTGTTGCTGTGTGATGCTCGACCCTGTTGCTGGCAGAAACCAACCCAGAAAGCCTTGATGTGTTTCACCATCGCTGGAGCTGGATGGTGATGGGGGTTTTGACGTGCTGATCTGGCCAGTGGAGCATCCCTGGTGCACAGTGCTGGGTACCCTGCCCCGGCTGAGCGCCTGAGGGGAGGACCCAGGCATCGAGGGCATCCAGGGGTGTCCAAACCGGGGTGTCCCTCACCCCTCTACCCGCTGAGGTGAGCAACCTCAGTGCCACCCTCCCCGTCGGTGACAAAACACCTTCTCCCTGCGCCGGGAGGTGGATCTGCTCCCACCACGTCCTCACTTCCCGCAAGCGCTTCTGCAAGCGAGCGCTTTGGCAGGGCTGTGCACGAAGGTGGCAGCTTTTCAGAAAATACTGCAGCGTATTCACATTTCTCGCTCCGTAATCACAGATCACAAATCCCTGCAAAACCACTGGGAAAGGGTTACATGAAGCTGACTACAGATGGAAAGCAAGAGAGCCTCATCATGGCTGTTCAGGTGCATCCTCGAAAAATGAGGGGCGGGGCGGGGAAAGGAAAAACATCTCCTCCTCCCCCTGCCCTGGGAAGGAGCCCTTTGGATGTGGGATTTCCCTTTCTGTCCCCAAACACCAGCCCCACTGGGGAGCCTTGCTGCCACACGTGGGTCTCGCATCCCTTGCAGGGGGAAAGAGAGAAGGTTCCTCCAAGAACTTGCCTCTCCCGAGCCATTGGGAAGGGGTGAAACTCCCCTCTCATCTCTGGCAGCGGATCAGAGCCGGCACGCTGGCGGTGAGTCACTGCCTGAGCGGCGAGACTGGCTGTGACAGGTTCGCCAGTAAAAGTTATTAAATCATCGCTCAGCGCCAGGCCTGACATTTGCATCAGAGATGGCTTTTATCCCAACTTGTGCCGGGGGAGCTGTGCTGGTGCCCTCTGTTTTCCTCTGCCTTCACCTATTTACTCACCATCACTTTTTTTTTTTTTTTTTTTCCCCCCCCTAAACCCCCAAGTCCTGTGCTCAGCCAGGCTCGAGCAGCGAGAGCTCAGATCCCAGAACGGGTTTTTTCCCCGGTGCTGGAGGATCCCTCAGGATTCCTGGGATGCACCCAGCACCCAGCCGGCCCCAGCGATGCCTCCCGGCCGTGTTGAGGTTCACATGGATCCCACCTGCACACCCTGCCGGGTCTCCCCTCCTCACCTCCTGCCAGCCCCGCAGCGGAAAGGCCACAATTTCCTTTTTCCCTTGGAAAAGACCAAAACAAAAACTTCACAGCTTTTTTCAAAGGCCATGTTTTTTCGAGAGCAGGTCTTGGCACACCAGAAGGAGCCCCAGATGCCCAGAGGCTGGTGGCCCACAGCATCCCATGCCTGCCCTTGTCGTGTAAGACTGTGGCTTTTTTCCCCAAAACCTCTGCCTTTCCTCCAGAAAATAAATGAAAATCAGTTAAAACAACCAAAAAGGTCAATTGAAAGTTATTTCTGTAGTATCCCTGGCCTGAGCCAGGGGACCGGGGACATCCTGCTGGAAGGTCCCTCGTCCTAGTGCAGGATCTCCACCTCACCCTGCAAGGGCTGAAATTTTTAGTTTTGGGGAGGTAATTTTCATTGAGTGGGTTTTTTTTTTTCCACCACAAAAGCTAAAGCTGACCAGCGACTGAGGGTGAGGGGGTTTTGCAGCAGCTGTGTTGGCTCGCAGGGAAACGCGGCGCAGGCAGCGCTCGCTCCTGCCAGCCCGCCACATCACTGCTGATTAGACCATTGCTCAGGGTGCAATTAACCTCATGCTAACGAAGCACGCCATGCTCTCACCCAGGCAGGGCCAGGGCTCCTGGCTGGGCTGCAGCGGTGCCAGCAGCCAGTGGCCCTTTCTCTGCGCCTGTTTTTAACCTGCCAAGATGGGTTTTTCTTTCTTGAACCTTGTAGCAGAGGAGGCACCCGAGACCGCGGCGGTGGTGCAGAGCTCTGCACGGAGCCGGTGCCACCGCGTGTCCTCGCACCCCAAACCAGGCCAGACGGTGTCAGGGGACTCCCGGGGCTGAAAGCGGGGGGCTGGTGGGAGGGCAGCGCTGCCGGCACCCGCCGGGCAGGGCGGTGGGACCACCCTTCATTCAGCCCTCCGATGAGATGCTTATTCACAGGGAATCCGTGCAAACCCCTAAAATACCCAGGAAACACCCAGCTTTCTCCTTTCCAAGAAGGAAAACATTGACAAGAGGCCCATGGCCAGGAAGAAATGAAGCTCAGAAGAAAAGCTGGCGAGAAAGGAAGATTTCTGACTTCCCAGATCCCGGCCTTCTGCTTGGTTTGAGGGTTCAGGTTGGGGTTCAATTTGCCCTTATAGCGTGTCAGTGGGGGGAGCTGTATGGGGGGAGGCTTTATGCAAGTCCTGCCCTCTTGGTTTGCCTTCCACTGCGGCCGCTGGCTGCTGCAAGTGCAGAGAATAGCAATGTGACGAGCTGGGGACAAAGTTAAACCCTCTAAGGAACCACTCAACTACCCCAGAGCAAACCTGTGGTGGGTGCTGCTGCTTTACAACGGGAGATCTGCACAGGGCAAGCTGAAACCTGCGGTGTAAAATCCTCTTTTTCTCTTCACAGCCCTGCCAGGAAGCTTATTAGTTTGCTTTCTCCTGGAATAGATCCGTGGTGCAGCCTGCGGGCTGCGGCACGCGTGCTCCTACGGGTGAGTAGGGAGTAAACGACTCGGTGATGCTCCCGCTGAGCATCATCTTCGCTGTCTGTCAGCCCAGGCTGGGATTTTCCCACGTGGAAACTGGGGCAAAGCGATCAGCAAGTGCCCAGCGATGAAGGAAGGAGAAGCAGAAACAGCCGATGTGGCTCGGACAGCCTGTTGCTCCTGCAGGTCGATAAACACTCGGCAAATCGCTCAAGAGGAAGAGGAAACTGTTAGGTCTGGGGTTTAATGGCCTTGTTTTCTCAGCCATGCCGAGATTCCTCTGACCCTGGAGAAATTGCAGCCCCTGCAAACCCCATTCCTCACCCGGGTGAGGGCAATGCCTGCAGATCAGTGGCCGAGCACCGCACGGGTCGGGCACATGTCCCGGGGTGCCCGGGGGGCAGAGCACCCCAACTCGGGGCGGAGGAGATGGGGTTTGGTACCCGGCCACAGCCTCCACCCCCGTGTCCTCTGGTCTCAACACATCCCTGCATGACCAACACCCAAACATCCAGAAAACCACCGGGAAGGGAAATATTTTGGAATAACATTTTGGAAGCGGCTGTCAGGGGAGGCTTAGGGGTGAACGTAGCGGGAATACGGCCACGGCTCGGAGCACCGGCAGCGAAATGCTTCACAGAGCTGCCACTTGTCCTCCCGGCCACCAGCACCGAGAGCTGCTGCTCCGAGAGGAATCTCCAAAGCCAACGGTTGCAGATGCAAGGGCAAAAGCCAAGCAGTGCTCAGAGCTGGTGGCTTTGCGTCTGGCTTCTGCTACAAAGGAAGTAATTAACAGGAATAATCACACAAGAGCAGCAGCACGCCTGGGAGTTGAGCAAGTTTTATCAACCCCAGTGTGCTGGGCAGGGGGACGTCCGCTTTCACCGGGAGCAGTAATAGAAAAAAGCAGATGAATGCAAGAAAAGCTCGGTAAAAGGAGAGACCTGAGGCTCCAGGCAGAGCCTGGGGAGTTTCCCTCCACAACAGACACAGGGCTGATTTTTCAGAAGAGGTTAAATAATTTAGTGGTGGCCTAGCAGGGAAGCAGCGCTGTAATTTTCAACATCTTTGCACTTGCAGAGCAGTGATAAACTGCCCCAGTTACTGATGTGGGGAAAGGAGCAAAGCGCTAAGAGCACGATATGGTAGCTGAAAAGTTCCCCTGTGGGGTTGCTGGCTGTCCCCAGCACTGTGACCCCCAAAACAGAGTGGGTGCCAGTTCTGGCACCCTTATTACCTCTTGTCCATTTGCTCCCCAGCACGGTGGCAGCTCGCCCCACATCGGCCCTGCTCTCTGGTCACAAAACTCCTCCCCACCTGGGTGACACCCGCCTTGTCCATGAGGGAGCTGAAAAATCTTTGTAAAACTACCTGAGAGCACTGAAAGCATTCCTGGGAGCTGGCAGGAGGGGCTCAGGCTCCCCCGTTTCTTGCTGACAGCTGCTCTGGGAGGTGGGCATGCCCCCCATGTGCCACCCCCCGAGGGGACAGTGTCAGGCACCGGCAGTGGGACCCAGGCTCTTGCGTGGGGACACGGAGCTTTTCGAGGACAGGCGGGGAGCGGCAGCCGCTCTGACTCATCGGGCTTGCACAGAAGACTTGCAGATGGATGTTGAAGGCATTTAAGTTTTAATTTTTTATGGTGTCTGACAGTTTATTTTTTAATTAAAGCTGCGCTTGAGCAGGAAGGGCTGGAGCTGTTGTTTCTGCGGCTGCTCTGATCTGGCAGATGCTCGTGGTTGTGTTTCACCCGTCAGGTTTGGGAAAAGGAGCGGGATGGCCTCTGGGGCACAGCCCTTTCCTATTTATTTAAAAAAACCTGCTCAGAGTGACATCTGTACTAAGTCGATTTTCTAAGAAAAAAAAAAAAAAGAAGAAACTCCTCCAGGCTCCATTGCCTCCAAGTTACCAGATATGACAAGTCATCAAAACCCATCTTTTACGCTTACAAATGACATTGCACGTGATGTATCCCTGGAACGGCCTTTTCTGGTGCTTCTCTGGGGAAATAGGATGAAAAACCAGGCCAGGGCACAGGAGCAGCTGCAGCCACAGGTGAACATGTGCGAGCAAATCAGGGCGGTGAATTGTTTGGCTGCCCGAAGCCCCGGTGCCAGCCAGGCTGAGCGAGTACCGCAGGCGAAGCTGCTCCACATCCCGCGCTGCTCCTGGGAACGGCTGAGCCCGAGCTGGTGGGGACCCCCGACATCACCGCTCCAGCCCAAACCAGCAGCTACTGGGGAAACTCAGTTCCTGATGCAGAGGCTGCTGGTCGGATCCAGGCAGAGCCGACCTGACCGATTCCTGGGAAAAAAGAAAGCGAAAAGCTCCTGTTTGGGATGGACCAGCACATCGCGGTGGTGATGGCTGAATCGGTCCCTCCTTGCTTTGCTTGTCAGGAGCCCTGCTCTCAGCCAGTTGCTAAAACCAGGCATAAAAGCAGACTTAATTATGTTAGCAAATGGCTCCCAGGAAATAATTGCCTCTTTTATGGAAGTGACCTCATTAGACACTGTTAAATTGGGCAGTAACAGAGACATCTGCTGTCTCTGACATCACTGCACTAGCAAGGGATGCAATGTGACCACATCCGTGCTGATATTCCCAGGGTTCAGCCGTGGCTTATTTTTCTGTCCCTACAGTCTGATCTTAACATGCATGGCCACGTCTGTGCTGAAAGACACAGAAGAGCCCAGTGCTGGTGTGGGACAGTCTGTGCCAGGGAAATACGGGACTATTCCCAGTCCAGGAGACTGCGAGTCCCGCACCAACCTGCAGCACAGCGGGCTTTAACAAAGGGAAGATGGAAAAACACGGATAAAATCCTGAAAGAGTCAGTGCCACCTAGACCGAAAACACACTTAAATCAATAACCAGGCAGCACAGCATAGAGATAATTAATTACCTCTTGCTGCATTATTAATTATTCTGATGTTTGTCATTCTCTATTTTTCATAATTTTCTACTTACTCCCTTCCTGCAGCTCTTCATCCTTGGTGTCAAGTGAACTTCCAGCACTGGCCAAATGTCTCACCAGGGAAAACCAGTCATCCAAAGATGCTGGGAAAACTCTTCGGTGCCCAGCATGCCAGCAGGTCATCCTGTTTCTGATCCAGGGTGAATGAGCAGCCCCCTTTTTTGGGGAGGTAATTGGTGATTGTGCCCAGCCGTGCTGGGTGATGTGCCCTGGGCTGGTTCCCACTGGGGCTCCCACTGCTTCCCGCCCTGACCCACACGTGCTGCACCCTCACCTGCAAATGGGTGTCACAGGGGCAGTAAGAGCCCAGGCACCTTCCTTGAAAAATTTGAACATGTATTTGCAGAAAAGTTGTTACCTGGAAAACTGAAAGCGGAGGGTGGGCAGCAGGACGAGCCGGAGCAGCGGGATGAGCTGGGGCTGCAGGACGAGCCGAGCCTTGTCCTTAGCTGGAGTCAGGATGCAGCAGCTACAGCAAATCGAGGGTCTTCCTGTGAAAACCCACTGCCTTGCTGCCAGCTCCTGCAGCAGCTCAGTAACTTGCAGAAAGTAGAGATGGAAATTAAGAGAGCAAAAGTACCTGTGTGTCAGTGTGAGCATGCAGGAACAAGGCTGGAAGGTGACGCTTGCTTTTCCCCCTCTCCCATCACTGCGGCTGAAATAGGCTGTGATTATATTTTATCAGAGAAAACTGGCAATATTTGCTATATTATCTGCCTGGCAGCTGCTGCGAGCAGTCCCCTGGGCTGGAAGCACTCTCTTTTTTTTAACACAACAAATGCAATTTACTGCGTCCCTCGCCGGGGACAGCCAGGGATGGCTGCGGTGCCGCGCGTGGCAGCGCTCTGGCTGTGTCGCTGCTCCTGACGATGTTGTGCTGTGATGGATGCTCTGCCCAGCCCCAAGGGACACCGATATTTGCTGTTTCCTGGCTTGGAGCTGCTCCGGTCTCCCCCCTCGGCAGCAGGACCCAGCTGGCCCCTGCCCAGCACGGCCCCACACAGAGCAGCAGGCGAGTGGCTCCTGGCTGGGGGTTGCCAAATCCGGGGGTGCCCCGAGCTCAGCCCACCTCAGCACCCACTGCAACGAGACAGCCTGAAAGGCCCTCCTGGCTTGGCCAGTCACTCTGCACTTAAAAAAGACACTTTTAAGTTCAGATGTGATGGGAAAAGCCTTTTCTAGCCAGCTAGGAGTAGAACGAGTGATTTAATTATTATTTTTCTCCGTGTATGTTAGGCCCCCGCAGGACACCGATGCTGGTGTTGGGGCAGATGGCAGGCTTGAGATGCCCTCTCCACCTCGCCCTCCTGCTCCTTGCTCCCAAAACAACGTGGGAGCTGGGTCCCCAGGAGAGGGGAGGTGCTGTACCCCCCTCCCCGCACAGAAAACTAGCAGGTAGCAACACAAAAAGGATGCTGAAAATGGCTCAGAGCATCCTTTCTCCCCGGGCAGGATGCAACAGCAAGGGTCCCTGGCTCTACAAGCCACAGCTTTCCCAGCGAGCTCCGTGTCGGCAGCGGGAAGAGGCGCCTCGGCAGCGCTGCAAGCGATTGCCATCTAGAGGCTTTTGAGAAAGGAGTGCCCTTAACCCCACGAACACGGACCGAGTCGGGCAGCACCCACCCAGGGGGACACGGGGTGGCTCCCTCCAAGGCTGGAGGTGGCCGGGGTGCCCCGTGAAAGCCAACCCGGCCGGTGCGCTCCAGCCCCGAGCACGGCGGCGGCCGGGACGGCAGCGACTTCAGGCTGTGCCGGGTCACTCGGGGAAAAAAAGGACCGACTCTGCGTGGATTTGGCAGCTCCCGGGCTGGCCCAAAGGGCTGCAGGGACAAGAGACAAACTGGCATAAGCCCTGGGTGACGCGGCCACAGCCCGCGTGCCCTGTAGCAGGGGTGATTTTGCTCTTGCTCCCGAGCCATGGACGGCCGGCGTAGCTTAAAAACGTCTCTGCCCAGGGATGGCTTGTGGGCTCTGCTTCATGAGAGGGTGAAGTGCAAAGAGGCTCTAAAAAAGATTAGGTTGCAAAGATGCAACCCTACCCCCCACCCCCCCAAAAAAATGCGTCGTTTCAGTATTGCATCACTTGTAAAGTTTCTTTTGTGACACCGGGGCAATCCATCCATCCTCCCACAGTCTGTCTTGCCTCCCATTCTCGGGCTTTGATGTGCTCAGTTGTAGAAGGGCGTGGGGTTGTTTTGATTTTTCTTTTTTTTTATTATTAAAGTTAATTGCATTTTAGATTTCCCTGCTTCTTGCTCTTCCAATAGAGCCCCAGGCTGCTCTCCCGGGGCAGCGTCGTGTTTCACGCCTTCTTCAGACCAATATTTTGCAGCTACATGTAGCCCAGCAAGGCACCAATTGTTTCCAGATGCAGAAATGAATTTAATAAGGGTCTCAGCAAGTTTTTGAAACCATGGGTGCCTTGTTGCACCTCCAGCCCCCTGGGCTGCATTTTCTTATCGATCTGTTTATCGCCTGGGCTGAGAGCACTGTCCATCACCCGTGCCAGAATCCAGCCTGCAGCATAGAGCGGGCACTGATAGTGCTATTTAGGTGATAAATGAGACGTGCCTCTCATTCATCATGTTTACGAAGCATAAAATACTCATTTTTTAAAGCACCAATGTCTAGTGAAGTCAGCGGTCAGTTCCTTTATGTTTCTTGCTGCAAGCAGTTAGCAGTTGTGCTGCGCTGCAGGTGAAAATGCCCTTGCAAGCCCAAATGCTGCTGTGAAACTTTGGTGTTTTGCCTGAACCTCTTAGGAATAAAGGCTGCTTTTCAAAATCCCAATCGCTGGCTCCAGCGGGCGCTCTGCCTCAGAGCAGAGAGGCGCTTGCTTCGAAGGTGCTTACCCAGCCAAGCGCAAACAGCTGCAAGTCAAGGCGAGGTTTGTGTCACTGCCACCTCTGTCCCGAGGGACGTGGGGACCTGTCCCAGGGTGGGCAAAGCAGAGGTGCTAGGACGAAGTGGGGGGCAGGAGAGGAGCCCGTGGCTTGCAGAGCAAACCCAAAATGGAAGCCTGAAAAATTGGAAATTTTGGCATTCTTTACAAGTACAGCAAAGGGGTGGGGGGAGGTTCAGAGGAGGAGCAGAAATGATGTGAAGCCAGAGGAATACCTAAGTATGAAATAAATAATAACAGGAGATCAGACAGCCCCGGTAACGATGCTCTGAATTAGCCAGAAACCCCCTGTTTGGGAAATGTAGCTGCTTTTTATATCATCTCTTGCCAGGCTGGAGATTTCCTTCTAAATGATGCTTTTCTGGGAAAATCAAGGGGGGAACCCAGGAGGGATTTTTTTTTTTTTTTTTTTTGGCAAAATGTGCTGGGCAGGTCCCCCCCAGGCTGCGCTGCCCTCCCCTCCCACCTGGGCTGGTTCAAACACACCAACCCCGGGAGCTGCAGCCCAACCAAAACACAAGGCACCTTTCCAGGGAAATCTCCACTCCTGGAGGGGTCCCGCCTTAGACGCTTTAGGGAATTTTACAGGAGGAACTTCAGCTCTCCAGCAAAGTTTGGGATTGACCTTAAAACCCATCGTAATTAAAAAAATAAAGATGATTTCAGCACAGCTCTGTGCCTCAAAGATAAACATTTCCTTTACTCCCCAGTGGCTCCTAAACAAAGGGAAAAAAAAAAAAATGATAGGAGGATGAATTTAGCTGTGAAAGCTGCCTAAACGCTTTGTTGGAGGTTTATTTACTTTCAGTGCTGTGGGATAACTATGACGGCCTGCTTAAAACAAAGACCAACAATGCACACGCACACACGGAGACAAAGTGCCAGTGAAATGTTTAACATTAACCCAGAACAAAACTTTCCTGGAGTCTGTCCTCGACCTCCCCAAACATATGGTTTTATTCCTTCCTTCCTTCACATTAGGAAAAAAAAAAAAAAAAAGAGAAAAGAGAAAAAGGCACAGCAGTCACAGATGGGCATCTCCAGCGGTGCCACTGGCACAGCCACTGTGGCTGGGGGTCCCTCGGGGTGACCTGTCCTGGCTCGATCCGGTCTCCCTGACGGGCTGGACACTGGAAAATGTGCCTTTTCACTGGTCTGATGCCTGAAAGCTGGTTAATGCCCACTGACATACCGGCCCTGCAAAGCAGGGCCATGGGCTGAGCAGCATTTTGTGCCGTTACAACGAGGAGTACGGCAGAGCATCGTCTTGTTGGCAATGCCTCGCTCAGGCAGCGTGCGGCCCCAGCGCGCTGAACCCCTGGTTTATAATTATAAAAAATAAATACATGCATTGGCATTGAAGCCTTTCCCTACACGTGTGAAGCGTGGTTGGTTCAGGCCTGATTTGTTCTGCTCCTCCCTAAAGCGATTTTTTTTTTTTTTTTTTCCCATCCAGGCCTGTGGTGCCTTTTTTGAAGACTCGGCAGCAGCATTTCAGAGTTAAATCACCAAATTGCCGTTCACGAGCGGAGGCGACATGGCACGGCTGCTTATGCTCACTACACTGGGCGTTTGAAATAAAACAGAAATTTAGGTTTCTTTATCTTAATAGGCTGTGGGATGGGATAAATTTGGATTCCAGGTTTGTAATTGTAGGGGGTCACTCATTTGGGGCTGTACATGAGGGAGAGCAGAGACTACCCACTGTGTCTGCACACACAACCTAAAATGGTTTTGACTTTCCAGGTTAAACCTGAGTTTTATTCGTAACACATGGCTACGCCGGCTGTTGCATCTTTAATTTGTATTGTTTACTTAGTCAGCTTTAACCTCCTCATTTTCCACTCCCGGATAATTTGCAGTTGGCCCTAATGCAATTATGTTGCAATTATTATTTCCTTCTAGAGTTAGGATGCAAACATTTTCATGTGTTCTCAAATTTCTGGAAACACTTTGGCATCAGGGCGTAGAAGTTTCTACCACGGAGTGAAGGCAGATGCTGTTTGCCACGGCCAGCAAGAACCTGGGGCACCGGGGGGAGAGCCTGGGGCAGGGCCAAAGCTGCTGGGGCAGCGAGGGCTTGGGGCTGGGGGATTAATGGGGATGGGATCCCACCTGCAAAGGCAGCGAGGGGATGGACCGGCTGGGAAGGGCTGATTCCCTGCAGCTGGCGAGAGGGCGGCACTGTGGGTTTATAAACTGGCCCCGGAGCCGGTTTGGGGGTATGCAAGGCAGGCTGTAGGAGGGAGAGGGTGTCTCATGTGTGATTGGGTAGGCTGGAGTTAGGCAAGCTGCTCTGGAGGATCCCAAAACAGCGTTGTGTCTTCCTGAGCTCCTGCTGCTGCCAGCCTTTCGCGTCTGTCCCGTGCACCCTGGGCTCCGTGAGTGCTCACCCTTCATCTGGACCCTGAGCTCACCATGCAGCCAGTTAGAGAACGGGGCAGGTGAATAGAGGCCTGTTTTCTTCTATTCTTCTCTCTGTTTTCTTTTGGTTCCTGGCTCTGAAGCACCCCACGAAATCTTCTGCCCCAGTGCCGCGGCGTGCCGGGCTGCAGTGCCCGTGGTGGGTGAGGGTACGCTGCTGGAGCTGAGGCTCTCCCCTTCTGCTAAGGGACTTGCTGAGGGTTATCAAATCCAGAAGGAGCTCCCCCTTCAAATGAAGGAGAGGGAAATCCCTTACTTCAGCATCCTGAAGTATCACTCATCCCTGAGAGGTGCTTGTACCTTCCTTGCTAGTGTGGCACTACTTCGTTATCTAAATCCCCTTTCACTCTCCGCAGGTAGAGCAGTAACAACCACATGAAGCGACAAACTTGGGCAGAAAGGATTTCTCCCAGACAGTTGAAGACCAAAACATCAGCATGTGTGGCCTGGCTGTAGCTGGAGGATCTCACACAGAAAGCCTCTTTCCTTGCCTGCCTCGGGACACACACTGAGGCCACCTGAAGTGGCCTGAGATGTGATCGGCACGGTTGGAAATGTGGGCAGAGTACTTGAGAGCCTCAGCCTCGCCGATCCGCGGCTGCCGGTGCGCTTACCCCAACTTTTAACCCTCTGCAGCCGAGTTATCCATGATACAGATTTAGAAGAAATAAGATCTGCCTAGAGAGAAGGGCTGGAAGACTTAATTAGCTGCCTGCTGGCACTCAGCAATTACTGCTGTATGGTATGCCCCAATTGTGCTACTATTAACTTTCGTTCCCTGGAAATTCGGTGATTAATAATACTAATAATTCTACTGACCTCAAAGTAATTGCAGAACATTAAAGGGGAAAACTGCTTCTAATTAAGCAATTCCCAATCCTTCTGTTTTCTCTTTTTTCTGAGCCTCCGGTGCCCTCTTGGCGGCCCTGGCATGGGGCTTGCCTGGCTGGGGAGACGGGACATGCGATGGGGCAGAAACTTCTTTTTTCCCCCGCCCTAAGAAGTAACATTCCCAGAACTCTTCAGCATTTAAAAAACCAAAGCCTGTGCGAACAATAACCCTGCATGCTGTAAGTGACTGCTGATGGGAAGTCTTTGCTTCACTGCCTGATTAACCACCCAGAAGGAGACCCAGCAGCCTCCACCGGCCCCCAAATGTGTCGCTGCAGGTTGGGAAGCAGCGGAGATGCTCAGGCACCAGCTCCCTCGTGCTGCTCATTGGGGTCTTTCCATCGACTCAGGATTTAATCATGGAGCTGAACTGAAAGGGTAAAATATTTCCCTCTAGGAAAGCTCTTGAGGATGCTGAAAGGGTCCAAACTGCTCTTAGCTTTGTGTGGGGAAGGCAGAGGGATGCGAATGAGTTGAACGAAGGTGCAAGTTTATCTGGAAAAAAAAAAAAAACATCAGCTGACCTACCCCGTTTCCAGCGGCTTTCCCAGCGCAGGACGGGCTGAAGGGTTGCATTCCCACAGCACGCAGGATGCCAGATGCAGCGGCCGTGCAGCCCTCGCCAGAGGTTGCCTCTTTGATGCTGGTTGGCTCCAGGAAGAAAATGTTTGTGGTTTCTTCTTCCTTTTTGCTGCAGACAGCGCCGGGGCTGGGGTCCGGGCTGGGACGGCTGAGCAGAGAGCAGAAACGCAGCTCAGGAACTGCTGGGAGCTTTCGCAAGCAGGGAAATAGGGCAGAAGCATCCCTGTCCCCAAACTGGGAATAGCCTCTCCCTGTGGGGTGGTCACAGAAAACCCAAACCCTTTCAAAGGAAACAAAAAGCCCGCGGTTGTTTGGAAGTGAAGCAAGGGCAGGGCCCTTCAGGGTTGCTGCCGTGCAGCATCGCTGCTGGCTGGCAGGGCTCTGACTCAGCCCCGGGCAGCCTCAGCGTGTGGTTTCTTCCTGCCAACCTCCCCAAACGGTAATTTAATAAGAATTGATGCTAGCTCTTGTGATCTGAACGCTGTGCCTTTCAAAATGAGAAACAAATGGAAGTTGCCCAGCCCCGGTCTGCGCTGGGCACGTGCAGTGATGCTGCACGAGGCCTGAAGCAGAGCAAAAAAGCAGCCTAGGTGAGCCCCGTTAACACTGAAACCTACTGAGGCAGAAGGCTGTGCACTGCCCAGCGCCCTGCTCGGGGCACTGCAGCTCTGTGAGGATGAAGCTCAGGTCGTGCTCGGGCCATGAACAGCCCCAGCAGCATCTCCACGTGCCCCTTCAGCAGGAGGCAAATCCCTGTGCTGTCCCCTTGTGCTTCAGCCCATCAGCAAGGGAAAAGCAACCAGACCCTCCCCCCAAAATACTGAAATAAAGAACTGAGATGCTACAGATGGGAGGGTCCCTTTCTTCTTATTTTTTTAGTTCTAAAATGCAGCAACAAAACAGGTAGGGAAATGAAGTTCCAAAATTGACCATTTATATTTAAAAAATGACTAGGGATAAAAAGAAAATTTCATCACCAATTTTTACATATTGTATGTATTTATGTGTGTGTATGTATATGCATATATATATATATATATATATATATATATATATAAAGGCTTTATATTTAAAAAGCTAGTGCTCTTCTTGGCAAGGGATTAATGAAAATTTTCCTCTAAAGTTTACCCCCAAAGTACAAAGTGACGATTATCTCAAACATGTCACTATATGTAAATACCACTTTAAAGGCACCTTTATGAGGACAGTCTTTTGCTCCCATTTTATATTACTCTTTCTTACAAAGTTCAGAGAAATGTTCCAGAATAAATAAAATACATTTTGTTTGTCTTGGTGAGCAGGACAGGAAGGCAGAGAGCCGTCTCTGGAAAGGTCCTGCACTATTGTGGACTTTCATTTTTTTTCATAGGTATTTAAAAGCAATGATAGGCAATGCTTTATAATAAATAAAATAATGCAACTGGTAGTGCAACGCTTGGGATCGTGCTGTAGCCACAATGTGCTGCGTTAGCTTCTGACTCCCTTCCAGCACCCTGGGAGCAGCGGGACTGCTGGGGAAACAACTGGCTGCTACCTAAGCTGTGCTTCGTAAGGATTTGGAGCAAAGGGGCTTCTTCATTTAAAAGCTGAGCCAACTGAGAGGAAAAAAAAAAAAAAAAACAAACCAAAACAAACAACCAACTTCTTAATCTTTTTCTCCCCTTTTAAGCCCCAAATCGTGGCACGCCGAGCAGCTGGAGATGGGATTGAAGATGCCTTTACCACGTCGGAGAGAAGCACCCGGCAGCGCGGTGCTGGCACGGAAGGAAGGGCCGGCTGCCGGCAGAGCCTTCTGTCCAAGCGTGCCGCTCAACACGCCTCCCCGAAAGGCAAGGGGACACAAAACCCCGGGTCTTTGGGGACCTTCGCTCCAGCCTCCCCTCCCCAGGCCGCGCTGGCCGGCCCGCAGCGCTGCCGGCACGTTGTGAAACGTCCAAAGCCCCCTCTCACACCCGTTTGCAGATGGGCCGCGGTGGTTTTGTTAAATGAGCCAGCTATTAGCCAGCTTCTGTAGCTGTTGGGTGGGTTTTGTTTTTTTGTCTGGCCGGGGTTGCTTTTGGTCTTGTTTCTACTCCGGCATGCCAGAGAGATTTATAGAAACAACATCAAAAGGCCTGAAAGCGTAGGGGATGTATGTGCTAAACTGCCCACTGGCCCCCGGATTTGCCAGGCTGGTATTTATTACAGCACTGGCAACCCAGGGAGGCATCAACTATGTTAAGATCAAATTCAAAAGTCAACAGTGAAAATGCATCAAGGCTGAGAGCGTTCAACCAGCTTCCCAGTGATCCCTGCTCCTTCCCTCCGACAGCATGATGAGAGCAGGACGATAAATTGGAGGCAACAAAACACACCAGAAATATATGAACAAAAAGCACATTGGCCTATTGAAGACTGTGATGTAGAAAAAATACTCACGTGCCTGCAGGTTACTCATGTGCTGTTACCCTCAGACGTCTGAAAAATGGTCCAGCCATCAAAGCAGCGGTGACCGGCACCGGCACCACAGCTCAAAGTGACGGTGAGCAAGTGTTGTTAATCTGATTATTAAAAAGGTGTGAAAGCGTGCAGAGTTTTGTGCAGCTGCAGGGCCGGTCAGAGATAAAAATAAAAAGTGATGCTGAAGGAAAGAAAATGGAATGACAATTATTTTTTCCTGCAGAATCTCCAATTAGGAGTTGAAAACTAAAAGGAGGCCAAGCAGCAGCGAGGACTAGATAAGGTGAAGACTGGTTTTGTTTTATAATCAATAAGGTTTTCATACCACGACAATTTACTGCAAAACAAGCAAATCAGTGGGAAAAAATTGAAAACACGGGACCCATTCTTTAAAAAGACACAAAATATTTTTATAACTAACTACAAACATAACGATAGACATTTACAAGGTCTCTTAGTGCATATTTACACTTACTCTTTTGTTTTCTTCCCTAGAATTAAAGCTGCTGTAATCTTCAAAGACTTTAGGGCTGTTTCAACAGCTGAATTACAAAACAGCTCAGTCACAAATTCCACAATAAACTCGATGGTTTAAATAAAGAGGAAAAAAATCATCCACATGATTCACTTCAATATAGATTTATATAGGAAAGATCATTCTCTTGACACGTTTTCTAAGGTTGTGAAACGACAAACTTTTAGTACTTCAATTTATGCTTCGGTATTTTGGATCCTAAAGAGAAGCAGCTAACCGGACGCTCATTTCTCGCCTTTTAGACCACACGCCTGCTGGAAGGGAAAGCGGGTTGAAGCCATTTGCCCCCCAAAGCTCCTCCTCTACAAATGGCAGAGACCCAGCTGAGAGCCCTGCTCCCCAGCCCAGATGGAAGGGCAGCCCCAGCTCTCCCCGGAGGCACGGCTCGGGAGCTGCGCGGCTCCAGACTGCTCCCCGGTTATTTCAGCATCCCCAGTGCTGGCCCCGAGCGGAGCCCGAGCTGAATGAAGGCAAGTGTTCCAATACTTCAGAACTCGGAGCAACGCAGGCTCGGCTTGAGTTTAGGAGGGCAGATGGTCGCCTTTTTCTTAAATCTCACTAGTTTAGCGCAGCTCTAACGGTATGGTTGGACAGCACAGTGCAAACCAGAGGGGTTTCAGTGCTTCTGAAAGCCGAAGAGATGATGTCGCTGGAAGTCAGACTCTAAAACCAACTTGGAATAAGATCTTTTTGAAAAGAAATGTATTTTCTTCATAAATACAGTACAATTACATTTTACAATGTCTTTTTACTTCCTAGACATAAAAATGCTAGCTTTTAAAAAAAGAGTTCCTATACAAATACATGAAAAGACACCCACCTCCCCACAGCCCCCCTGCCCCTGGCACGGAGCAAAACCATCGGCCGCGGTGTGAAGCAGCGCAGTGAATCCTGGCCTAACCTGTGCCAGCCCTCGAAGGGAGGGAGAGAAAGCCAAATCACCCCCAGGGTTTTGCTTGCCCTGACTGCACCGGGTTTATATCACCACCATTTTATAAGCAATGGGAAAAGCACATGGTTTGGCCGCGGCTGTCGGGAGTCACTGTCCGGGTGTTGCGGCTCACGGGACGCGGCTGTTACACATCTCAGGCGCTGCTGGTCCTCGGTGTGGGCTCCTGGAGCAGGAGGTGTCCTTGGAAACGGTTCTGGCCTAAAACTCTGCAAGTCCCCTCACTCAGGCAGCCTCAAAAACGAAGCAAAGCTGATGCCGGTTTTCAGCCTCTCGCTCTACAAACTCCCCAACAGAGGCGGAGACCACACAAAGAATTTCAGCTCCCCGACAGTACGTGCTGACCCCAGCCACCCTTTGCAGGCTCCTGAGGAGCAACTCACAGATCCCCATGAGTCCTCAGACCACAGACAGACAATTGCTGCTCTAGACCCCACCAGAGTTGCCAGGTGGGAGCTATTTGAAGTTAATAATGACATTGGGCCAGATGGGAACAAAAGCCTCTGGATCTCAGGCAGTTCCCTGAGCTGTCAAACCCCAGAGGAACTGCCCAAGCGAAGGACTTAGGAGTTTGGCCATTCTGTAAGCAGTGAAAAGAAAGAGGAAAAATAACTAGATTTTCTTGTTTTGCTCTACAAAGAAGAGTATGTGGCTTTCTTTATAAAAGCTACAATTCTGTTTCTAATACCCGAGTTTAAGAAAAACTCTTGGTCTAAAATTTTGGTTTGCAAAGAAGGTCATTGCAATCATTGTGTTAAAAATCACTTTCTACTAGAAATAAGCTCTACAGAAGGAAAAAGAACTAGGTGTGCAGTTTGTCTCCTTAAAGCAGTTTCTGTTTAAAAACAAAATAAAAACCTGTACAGAGAGACTGGAGACTATAGTACACATCTTCCTCAAAGCAAGCAGCTCTTTTACATTCACATCAGGATGGCTCTGAGGAAGCTCGAGGGAAAGAATACATTCCTGATGGCTCCTAGTTTGTCAGCACAGAAAAATGACCTCAAACTTCCACATCAAAAGTTTTGGGGGTTTTGCTTTTGGAAGAATTAAAAAACTACAAAATAGGGCAAAGAACCTCACCTAGGTGATGTAAAAATGCACCATCTTCTTCCAGATTTACTTCCACGGGCACAGAACTGCTAAGGTTCCTGCAATCCTGATGGTTTGGACTGTCAGAGACCACCTGGATTCCATTTTTGGAGGAGACAGTTGCTGTCCATAATCTGTATTTTATTCACAGAAAG